CTGTTTGACCTTCCAACTCGACCTTTCCAACCTTCCAACTCGATAACAATCCCCCTGCATATTAACCTATCCATGGAATCTTGGGAAAGTCACTAAGGCTTCGAACAGGGTCTGCTTGGCCCAGCAAATTCCCAACATACGCTTCCTGAGGAGACGTTGAGGGTCCAGGCTCCATTGATGAGTACAAACTATTTGAGATTTTGGGGAGTGGAACATTGGAACCTCTTTGCTCAGATGTTTGACACAGACTCATGGGTGCTCCAGGTCAGACTCGTCCATAACTGGTGATCCATCATGCGAGGAATTGACCACTCGGATGAATCACTCCGGTCTTGACATGAGAATCACAGGGGAGGGTTGTTCATTGTAAAGTTCTAAAGAAGCTCAATATAGTCTAACTGGTGCTTAGTAGGGAATAAGGGAATGATCCCCCAATAGAGATTCTATTGGATCCAGCCACCCTCAGCCACCCTGCTTTCGTCGCACCAGTCAGTAGTTGGGGCACCCGTTCACCAGTTTGTCGAATGGATGGTATTTTCAACCGCCAGGTGGTACACGAGTTGGGCCATGCCAGCATGGAGCCCTGATGCCTGTGAACATCCATGTTCCGCTTGCCAACATCGTGTTTTTTTTGCCCCACCAAGTGAGAGGTTTTGAGCTTCTTATTCACTCTTCCATCCTGAGACCCACAGACTCTGCCAGACTCTGCCAGACTCTGCCAGTCTCCAGGTGGCCTTGGATCCGGGCGACTATTTGCTACTCCCCCTTTGCTTGGGTTCTGGTCCAGTGGCCATCAGCGGCGGCCCCGAGGCCCAAGACCTTGGAGACTCGGAGCGTCTGTTTCGTGACCCACAGACCTGGGTCCAGCCGTCTCAAACACTGGAGACTGTAGCCTTTATCTATATTTTCAGAGTTCAGCTATGATGGCATAAGTTCAGAGTACGTATTTCTTTGGACGATCTAGCAGTGAGCTAAGATCATCTTGCAGTCGAGCGCTTAGATCGTCCAGTCCAAATGTTTGGAGTCACTTCCAACAGTATCCAGCAGCATCCAACAGCTTCATCGACTTCCGCTTTGAGCAGAGGCCGCACCCTTCACCTTGCGCATTCAGAGCTCTGCCCCTCTTCGCTGCGCTGCCCGTGCTGCAGCCTGGACAGCACGTGCGGCAGAGGGCACCCTGTGCGCGTGGAGGAGCATGGCTATGGAGGCCAAGGAGGCGGACTCATCTGTGGCAACTCCTGTTGGGTTTCGGAAGAGTACGATAAATATTACTGCTAGCTTCTCGCTACTAGTAGTAATGGCCTCCAACCTACTAGCGATGGCCTCCAAACTAATAATAGCAATGGCCTCCAACCTAGTAGATAAGGACCCCATCCCATTTTCTACAAGATTGGCTCGCTTGCAGCCGTTGTATGAAATGGAATGTTGGGTTGTGGAACCGTCCGGGACGTGGCTCAGCATGCTTCTGGACCTGGAGGCGTTGTTTGACACGGCACTCAGATCGAGAACACCCACTGTTTTTTTTGTTGTTTTACTTTTCTGTTGTTTATTCATTGATTGTGTGTGTTTTTTTGCAGGCTGATCCGTATCCTTTGTCTTGTCATGGCTGATTCCTTGTAAAGCGGTGAAGTGCTATGTTAATATACACAGGAAATCTGAAGTGCCAGAAATAATGACAGCATGCGCCGAATCTTGAAACTATAAACACATTTTGTCCACCAGACAGCATCCCCTTTGTATCATCATCACTTGGAATGTTTCTTGGATACCAAATCGATAACAGGGAACGAATGCCCTCAAACATTTGGGACGATCATCTTCATCCACGGGCATAGTTGGTACGGGTTTACCTGATGCAATCGCACGTGCAAGCACGACGTGTGCCGAACAAAACCAGGGGTTTGTTACGAGCTCCAGGGCGAGTGATCCGGGTCGTTCGATGCAGCAAGCACGAGTACCAGGGCCAGAAACCTTATTAGCAGGGTGTCGGTGTCGTCGCTGGGGGGTCCAGAAACGGAGAAAAAGACTGCAGTAAGTCCTGTGTTCCTCCCACAATGCTTCCTGACATTGACCCTTAGAACATCTTAAGACCACCCAAATCTTGGGAAAGATAAATTCCATGGATTGTGTGGGATGGGGCGGGGAATGTTTTGCTTCTGAACCCTCCTGCACCAGCCTGCCTGCGCGCCAGATCTCCCTGGCAGACGGGGACTCTCAGGCTGGATCGAAGCGGATGTTTGGGACTATTTTGTCCCCTAATCTACTTTATCTAGAACATCCTAAAACCTTTGCTTCTGGGTGGATGTGACTGGATGTATTCATTTAGGACTCATAAGCATAGGATACTGTTGTGGGGGGTGCTTGGATACTGTTGTGGGGGGGGGAAGCGACTACGGAAAGCATACAGATTCCCGTATTCAGGCCACTTCTTTTCACCTCCAGCCGATCACATCTTGATGAAATGTGGCAGCCTAGATGTGATCTGGTTCCACCAGAGGCACCGAAAAAGCTCCGAATTCCAAGGTTCATATTTTGGCCTCTGGTCTGAAGTCACCTCCTGATGTGGTGCTGGTGTGGTTGGCGGCAGGACACTTGGATGATCGGGACACGCGGGTGAGGGGGAGACTCCGGAGACTAGCTTGGATCAAGGGCGCATATGTTTGAAGGAACTTCCCATGGCATCCCATGACCTAGCTTACACCAAGTGTTGTCCAGAAGATTCTTTTCAGTCGACTCCCAAGACTCAGCCAGCGCCTTGCGAAATGGCTTCGAACTTGGGCTTTATTGTTTGCTATTTGACTCTATTTGGTCCAAAGTGTTGTTTGTTATCATTTAAGTAGTTGATAGCCTACTTTGTTTGAATTGGATGTGTTAAGCGTTTATATCGCCTTAATAAGTCTTAATAGTAATATCACATAATATCACCATCACGACTTGTTGGCTGTGTGGATTTCGAGTACACCAATAAAGTATACATTAACATAAGAGCAGGTAGACACTCACCCACCCACCCCATGCAACAAACAAACAAATCCAAATCCAGGGTTTTTACTTGTATTTATCATCGTTCCAGAGATGTTTTGAAGAGCTTCCGCATCTCAGGAAGCAGCCGGGCCAAGAGTGTCAAGCTGCAGATTTGCATCAAGGCTGCTTGGGCAAAAGCACGCGTAGGATGTGTGGCGAGACCTGCGCATGTGACGTGTTTAGTTTTTGAAGAGAACACATGTCGTGCAAGCTTGCCAGGTCAGGTGGTCACTCCAGTCAGGAGTGGTCGACCAAAAATGTGTTGTTCGACTCCATGGCATCGAACATCAAGCCATTCTCGGAATGTGGTGGAAATCATTCCACCCAACAAAAAGTAAACCCATGATTGGCCGTCGATGCAACCCACGATTTCTTTGACTCCGTGAGACTGTTCCGTCATGGTCATGGCCATTGAAAAGGCAATATATACCCTAGGGCTCCAATCGAGGTGGTTGGGGTGGGTTGGGAGGGTCCAACCACCTTCGCCAGCCCATCCGGGAGAGGTCGCTCGAGTCGCGGATCCAGGCCATGGTGCTCCGGGAGATCAATGGCCTTTGCACCTCCAGGCAAGTCCCTCAGGAGCTGGAAGCTTCGCTGCACAGAGAGGTACTGTGCCAAACCAGAGATGGGGTGGTTTGAGGGGACTCCCAGTCAACTGGGTGAACTGGCCTATAGACTGTAAAAACATTGAGATCGGTCAGACAGATGGGTTTTAGGAAAAAACACCCATTGGTTGGAGGTAAACCACGATAACGTGTTGGGGATGGTGGGGATCTTCAGAAAGGAACAGCACAGGTTGGAGGAGCATGACTTTAGAACTCAGCAAAGTCCCATCCCATTAGTGGGAGTGATGGTCCTTGATTCTTACTGCGACATGCAGTCCGACAGGATTACTGGGAACATGATTTGTCCTTGTTGTCCTTGACCAGGAGCACTCAAACAGTTTCATAGATGGTGTGTTTCTGATTGTTTCTGTATGTTCTATTCGTGCAGGGTCCTTGGTAGTGAACTAGCAAGCAAGTACACTCATTTGAGTGCTCTCAACTGGATTGGAGGGCCCAAAGTCTGTGGAGAACAATCTACCTGAGGAATCGAGCTGGGGGTGGGCAATGATTCGCTGTGTGTTTCATCAAGATACCGGCTGATGAGGCTGTTGAAACGCCTGAAACATGTTTACCTCCTGATTCCCAGCCACCATCCCGTTCCCAACATCTAGTCTTCCACGATCCAAAGTGATTTGTCCAGGATCTCAGTTCTGTGCAACATGAAGAACACAGAACTGAGATCTCAGTGAAGAAACGATCCTTCATGGTGAAACGATCCCGTTCACCTACGGTGAAACGGTGAAATCATCTTGTGCAGGATTCACTTCAACTACAGCTGCAAAGCGGCAAAGCCAACTGCGCGTTCTGGTACACATCCCAGATCATACCATACAGGTCCCTCATTTCACTGCCGGTCATGCAAAACCAGTATTCCATGTTCGGTCGGTCGCACCATGTTGTACCGCCGGTCTGACTGGACTAGTAGGGATACCAGTCTGCCCAGAATCTGCGGTTTGGATTCAACCGGAGGCGAACCAGAGTTGGATCATACTCTCCGTCGAACAAACGCACCGGTCACCTAAGGGGGAGTCCGGTGGTGGGAGCAACGGGGCTCGCACTGCGACGTGTTGTTGCTGCGAGGTGGATCGCACAAGGAGTTCGTAGTCGGCCTATATATAGTGAGAAACGCAAAAGCGACATGTGAAGATATGAGAATGAACATCCCAAAGACATCGTTTCAAGGAAAGCACAAGTTGTTAAAACCTGGGAATATAGCCTGAGAACATCGTCATGCAAGAATGCCTTGAATTAAACAACTTCAATACATACGACACATTGTCATCCAACACGCTCAAAGAAGCGCTTGCCTTGGGGTCTGGCCGACCCTGGTGTGCCCCTGGTGACGCGCTCCATGCGATGCTGCGTGTTCAGATGGTCTCAGGGTCTGAGCTTTGCGCTTTGGATGCGGATGTGCTGGCGAGTTCAGAACTGAGTGACATCAGGAGCTTAAAGCGTCACTTGGTTTCGCTGTGTGGAGCTTCCAGGTTCCGGCAAAGGCTTTTCTGCGACAGATTTGACTTGGAAGATGATATGATGCTGAAGGTCCCCATGGATCTACAGCTAGTCTTACTGCCCTTCTGCAGCTCTTCCGACAAGGACATTGACATTCTGGTGGCAGCTGCATCTCTAGGAGATGTGGAGATTGTGGAGAAGTTACTTCAAAGACCACAAGATCCGGATGGACATAATGGCGATTTCGACTCACCTTTGCATTTGGCTGCAGAGAATGGACATGCTGAGGTGGTTCAGTTGTTATTGGAAGCCGAGGCTTCCGTGGATTTGCTGGCTTGGCAGGGTGAATCTTAGAAGATTGGCAAGTGACATATACCCCCATCTTTGATCAAGTAGGTGTATGGGAGTATAATTATAACTGTATGCTCGTTTGTGTTTGAGGAATGGCACAGCAAACACTTGATGTTTGACTGTATCAAGCGCTTCAGCTGGACCTGAAAAAACAGTAAGCCACACTTGATGTTTGACTGTGCTCGTGTGACTCGTGTGGGTGCAGCTGAACTGCATCCTGTATTCAATTTGTATCCCATTTGCACTGCATCCTGAGGTGAACCTCCATTGTGTTTGGCATCTCGCAGGGGCCATGTGGACATCGTGCGCTTGTTGCTGGAGGGCAGTGCCGAGACGGATGGACATGATGCGTTCGTCACCCCACTCTGGGCGGCATGTGAGGAAGGACGCTTGGAAGTGGCGCGCTTGCTGTTGGAGGCCTGACGTCCTTTGCTGACTTTGGACCGGTCGGAGGAGCCTGGAGCCAGACATGGATGTTTTGAATACACTCACAATGAAATGCTCATGGAAATGGAACACCACTTGTAAATCCTTGGAAAGCGCTGCTTTCCACTTCGTTTTTCGGGTAGTGACTGGTGTACTCGAGGCAACGGACCAACGGAGTCGAGATTTGTTGCTATTCAATCTGTTCTGGTAGGAGGTGTACACCCTGGAAGACTAACATGGACCCTGGAAACCACTGGTTGGTAGAGGAAAACCATCTTCTAGGGGGCCCTTGCCAGGGTCCATGTTAGTTTTCGGGAGTGTATATCAATCATGTGGGATTAGCTTGTTCAAGCTGAACACCACGTCCATCTTTGTTTCAGGCCGAAGCTGATCCGAACCTGCCCAATGACTCGGGCGCCACGCCTTTGGACCAAGCAATCCAGGGAGGGCACCTGGAAATTCGCTGTTTACTCCTGGAGGCTGGAGCTCAAGAGGCGCCTTCCTCCCCCCCAGGAGGTCCGTCGAACGCCTCCTGCCGCGTGAAGCGCGGCACGGAGGTCTAGCACGGACGTAGTGACCACGCGACAGACGTCCCTGGTTTCAACGCATCAAGTGCGCAGGCGCTTGGCCGAGTCTGACACTGTGGGAGTTTTTGATTGGAATTTTGACAGGCTAGCTGTACACTTGGTACTAATTTCACAGTGTCTTTTACCATTTTGGGTTCTAATCCGAGAATCAGCGCCATCCCGCTTGAAGTCTTGGCAGCGGGAAGTCTATGTTTACTGATGACGTTTGATGACCAACAATTAAAGGAGGAGGGATCAGCTGGCTTAAAGACTCCCACAGCCACTGTGTTCTTTGCATTCACCAGTCAATGTACCAACCCGTGAGATCTTGGAGAAAAAGCCGGAAGGGGGTGGGGACTGGCTTTGCAACACACCCAGAACCCGAAGTAGCCCGAAGTGGAATTCTGAGAAGCTCATCATTCGCATGACTGGCCAAGGTCATGGAACGACCACATCCACCAAGTGTGGTCGTTCTGAAATTCGTTCTGTGGGCCTTAATTCCGTCACTTGACTGTGGCTCGAACCCGAAAGATCCACATAGACTGAACCTCAGCTTCGTTGCCGTGGATCCGAAGGCATAGACCAACCACAGCTGTTGACGTCCGAAAAGCA